ACTACGCCATATCCTTCCACTACGTGCCGCCACAGAAGATGTACGATCTGGAGTTTTACATCTACCACTTACGACCGTATGGCATTGTGTCCGGCACTCAGGAGCTTAACAGAAAAAATAAGATGACACCCGGAACTCAGGAAATCAATACATCAGTGAAGTGACACGGAGAACGTCATTCGACTGGTGTCTTGTTCGACTGGAAGATTCCATCAAGTATTTGGTTTTGTTCGTATGTCTCCAAATGCATTAAACAGTATTAATACTATATATTATCATATATATAGCTATTGTGATGATACAGTAGACCCACACACGTATTTGGTATTTACTTTAAATACGATTAAGAAAAATGATTATGGAACTATCATACTGTCATTGGGAAGATTTGTGTTCGATTATGTTAAATGTGATACGATTGTCAGAACAAAGAGCTTCAACGGTGCATCTGAGACGGTCTACTACTTGTCTCCAAGAATTGACTGTGTTAGTAACCAATATTCTTCATCAGTGTAATATAGAGGTTATTAGTTCATAATTCTTATTTTTCCTTAATACGCCAACCTCTAAATGCCTCTTAAAGAAGCTTTACACGGTATAACATGATAGTTCAATCAAACTCACTCACCCTTTGTTAAGAATCTACTATTTCGTAATGAGTGTAGGTGTAAAAGTATAAGAGAGGTTTATAAAGTCACTGCAAGCACATCAACTTGTTTCTCTAGTATATCTTAGGTCCCTGTTAGAGAATGTGAGTAACAGAACGGCATCAGCGTCTTCATCATCAGTAACAACGCATGCATCATGCTCTTGTGTATAAAGTTGGTTCTCGATTCTCCCGATTGAGTTGTTTTGTCTCTGCATGCCAGTGTACGTTACAGCAAGTCAATCGTGCGCCTGAAACCCAGTCCGAATAAGCACGGAACATTTGGCACAAATCAAGCTAAGAACTTGTCCCTTATCGGCCCGTGTTCCACTCCTCGCCCTTGGTGCGGCCATCGAGGTTTTATCCTAATGTAACTAATTTCATACTCATTATTGTGCACGTATGTAACTGAAATTTTCATGAACGCAATCCCTTTTGATCCTTTGATCAATGTGGTCTTTACAATCATGATGTCTAAAGCCGTTTGGCTTTTTGGCATATCATGTACGCATTTGAGACCGTTCATAATTTATGGCTGGGGAGTGATGATGATTTTAATGTAGGGGTCACCCATTTTGTTCTGGGGAGGTAGGGGGTCATCAATTTTGTACACATGTAACTAGGGAAGGGGCAGCTATTTACATAAAAAAATATTAAAAATTATGCTTACAAATATTGGAAGAGGAGGGGTTGGGGGCATTGATTTGGAACATGACATGCAGTGTGTGTTTTTGGGGTGTCACTTACTTTGTACATACATTTAAGGTGTGTGTGTGGGGGGTTTCTCCATAAAAATAATCATCACACCCCTGGCCATAAATTATGAACGGTCCCTTATTCTGTTCTGCAGCACCTCATGGATGAAGATAATATCAGAAACTGACAAAACTTGAGCTGCTGCAATAAGTGTCCATCCGTCAGAACAGAAATAGATCAAATAAAAGGGGATATTCTGGAAACTTGACCATTGTTTCAGAGGATAGACTCTCGCCTTACAAAGAACATCTATTGCACACTGCAAACCATCCCGGGCAGAGTTGTTGAACTTATATTGAATCAGGGCACGTATAATTTGCAACTCTCACCTGCTCAATATCAGACAGCGCAGACATGGTGGAAGGATAAATTGTATTATGTGCCAAAATATTGTGACAAGCCTCTCAGCAGGTTGACCAGGACGTTTGTTTCGTCTACTGTAAAACAGTAAAGGGGATAAAGTTTAACCCGGGATTCCACCTGGCTTTGTGTTTTTGTTTAGCCACAGTCAGCAATATTTCAGTAATATGGCGGCGGGCTGTTAATCATCGAGATGACATGCATCAACCACACGATCAAGTTTGGCTCCTCTTTGGACAAGTATCTGTTGGTTCCGGCGGGGGACACCAGAAATTGGCTTCACACATTGTACCCATAAGAGGAATCGAACCCGGGTCTTTGGCGTGACGTGCCAACGCTCTAACCACAAGGCTACCCAACTTATCTAGAATTAACGTGAAAACCATCCGTAAGATGATCAAAATTGAAATGTAGTAGTTGTTTGAATCTGTTTTAACTCCACTTTTGTGTAATGGTATTCTCATCCCTCAGGATATAAGAACTCAGGAAACACTCCTCTTCCAAGAACAATGTTAGATAGCAAGATTAAAAAATGTAAAACAAGTAAGTATTAGACTAAGTTATTGTTTTCCTACGGAAATCGGATGGACCTTATGGTGGTGCTACTAGTCCAGTAACTGCCCACACGTTTTCTGGGCAGGAGTTTAATGGATCTTTAGCTGTATCCATATGCGACCACGTACATATATGTATATACTCTCTGTTATTTCAGGTGTATTGAAGCATGAAAGGATAGGTGGGGTTTGCATGAGGAGCATAGCTGGGCTATGCAGTGTTTTCATTTTCTATCATTTATCCATGCCCAGAAGCATGGGGTGGGGTCTTTATATATATGTGCTCCATATCATGGCTGCAGAGCCTTTATAACACTCACATGGATATTTTATGGCCACGGAACCGTTATATGATCTATGTGGCTGCTGATCTGTCGCAAATACTCACGGTTATTGGTTGTCTGCAGAGCTGGTGCAATACTCATGGTTGTTGATTTCATGTGATAGGAAGTAGTGCTGCATTCTTTGAGGGAACACAGTTCCGGAGATTTTTCTCAAAAAGGTTTTTATCTCTGATTTTACGTGTCGGGCTCAACTACCTTCGACCGTTTTGACATGTACATGTAGAACGCAACGTCATAGAAGAAACCAGACGTCATAGCATTGTTCATAACGTCACATATATCTTGTAATGTCAAGGTAAATAGAGATTTTGGCATTGTATCATGTTGGGAATGGTGACAATAAAAGCTGATCCAATTGTAGTTGTTTTTAGTTGTTGATTATGAGGCTGTTTGGCATTGTAGGAAATATAATGTCTTTAGTTTAAAGAACGAATTAGATTGAAACTATTTTCTCCTTGCGTAGGGAAGTACTACATGTTGATGTAAGAATGCCCGCTAGATGGCGTTGTTATGAGTATATAAGGAAAGGCGCGAGTTCGACACGTCATCAAGAGTCCCAAGCACGGACACCACGTACCCACGGCCCCACACAATGCATCCCCAGGCGGGATATGCCTGCCGACATGCGTAGTGGCGAAGGCGACCTCAAAAGCACCTAACTGATGATAATGATGATGATGATCGAAGTGCATTCTCAGTTGTGGTGCGCTCGAGTCAAGTATTAACCTGTGGTTTGTACACGATGTTATATATAATCTAAATGAAATGTGATCCCTTGTGTTCAGTGATTTTGCTTTCAGTGTTTGATGGCTGAGCCCATTCTCTTCCCACAGAGGCTACTTGTCATATCTTCCTACGAACCTCTGTTCTAATACGGCCATATTTCCCGGTTCTCGTAAAAGCTCCTAGCGGTAAAAAAATCGCAACTCGAATTATCTCTCTTCTTTTTGTCCAATCAGAACACGTTTTACATCGTCTTAGATCCAACTTGACTAATGCAAGAACACATGGGACCACAAATATCACTCCTCTGCCGGGGACTTATGTTGATGTGACACACAAGACATTTAATGGCCACCTTGTCTGTTGTCAACGAGGGCGATGGAGACGCCATTGATCCGCCATTACATGACTAAGTTCTGTCTAGAAGAAACGTTTGCGCATCGCTCATGGGAAGAGGTTCTAGTTTTCCCGAAGCATACGGAAATTACCGAGGCCTTGCGAATGATCACTTTTGAAACAACGTCTCTGATTGCACATCTTAATCTGCTTGCAACCAATCCTGTTCGAATCCTAAACACTCGCACCATGACAGGTCCGTATAAGAACAGAGGTCCGTAGGAAGATATGACAAGTAACCTCTGTGGGAAGAGAAGGGTTGAGTCAGATGTTCTGTGAAGTACTGGCAAATTGTATGTGCTGACGAGCCATCATAATACGTTTGAGGACTGGTATATTAAATGTACTGACGAGCCATGATAATACGTGTGAGTACTGGCATATTGTATAAGCTGACGAGCCATGATAATACGTGTGAGCACTGGTATATCGTGTGTGCTGACGAGCCATGATAATACGTGTGAGCACTGGTATATAACATGTACTGACGATCCATGATAATACGTTTGAGCACTGGTATATTGTGTGTGCTGACGAGCCATGATAATACGTGTGAGTACTGGTATATCGTGTGTGCTGACGAGACGTCATGATAATACGTGTGAGCACTGGTATATAACATGTACTGACGAGCCATGATAATACGTTTGAGCACTGGTATATTGTGTGTGCTGACGAGACATGATAATATGTGTGAGTACTGGCATATTGTGTGTGCTGACGAGCCATGATAATACGTGTGAGTACTGGAATATTGTGTGTGCTGACGAGCCATGATAATACGTGTGAGTACTGGCATATTGTGTGTACTCACGAGCCATGATAATACGTGTGAGCACTGGCATATTGTGTATGTTGACGAGCCATGATAATACGTGTGAGCACTGGCATATTGTGTGTGCTGACGAGACATGATAATACGTGTGAGTACTGGCATATTGTGCATGTTGACGAGCCATGATAATACGTGTGAGTACGCGCATATTGTGTGTGCTGACGAGACATGATAATACGTGTGAGTACTGGCATATTGTGTGTGCTGCCGAGCCATGATAATACGTTTGAGCACTGGTATATTGTGTATGCTGACGAGCCATGATAATACGTGTGAGTACTGGCATTTTGTGTGTGCTGACGAGACATGATAATACGTGTGAGTACTGGCATATTGTGTATGTTGACGAGCCATGATAATACGTGTGAGTACTGGCATATTGTGTATGTTGACGGGCCATAATAATACGTGTGAGCACTGGTATTTGTATATGCTGACGAGACATGATAATACGTTTGAGCACTGGTATATTGTGTATGCTGACGAGCCATGATAATACGTGTGAGTACTGGCATATTGTATATGCTGGCAAGACATGATAATACGTGTGAGTACTGGTATATTGTATATGCTGGCAAGACATGATAATACGTGTGAGTACTGGTATATTGTATATGCTGCGACATGATAATACGTGTGAGTACTGGCATATTGTATATGCTGGCTAAACCTGATAATACGTGTGAGCACTGGTATATTGGATATGCTGACGAGCCATGATAATACGTGTGAGCACTGGTATATTGTATATGCTGACGAGCCATGATAATACGTTTGAGCACTGGCATATTGTGTATGTTGACGAGCCATGATAATACGTGTGAGCACTGGCATATTGTGTATGTTGACGGGCCATAATAATACGTGTGAGCACTGGTATTTGTATATGCTGACGAGACATGATAATACGTGTGAGCACTGGTATATTGTATATGCTGACGAGCCATGATAATACGTTTGAGCACTGGCATATTGTGTATGCTGACGAGCCATGATAATACGTGTGAGCACTGGTATATTGTATATGCTGACGAGCCATGATAATACGTGTGAGCACTGGCATATTGTGTATGTTGACGAGCCATGATAATACGTGTGAGCACTGGTATATTGTATATGCTGACGAGCCATGATAATACGTGTGAGTATTGGCATATTGTGTATGTTGACGAGCCATGATAATACGTTTCAGTACTGGCATATTGTACATGCCATAAAATCAGACGGTATCAATTTGGATTGAAAATGCGTCTGATTTCACGGCTCTTCACTGCGCACGTATACAACACTGCCGCACTACTTCAGCTTGGCCACCAACATGACTAATATCAACACAACAGACGTGATGGAAATGCTGATGAAACATTTATTAAAACTCGAAAAAAACAATTATACGATTTCTCCTACACAATTATTAGGGGACCTCACTATTATAATTATAACCTTCTATTATAAAAATATTCATTTACAATACACAGCCCCAAACATTAACAAACAATATCTAACGTATAAATGAGAAAACCTTGTAAGAATACATCCCTATCTATCCCTATTTGTGCGGAAAAACGTTCGTAAACATTTACCTACCTGGTAAATGGTATATTTGTTTCCGTTTAGAATGGGAAATTCGCAAGATAACGGTCAGGCGAAACACAAAATTTGCCACTCATACTCCATCATGCCCCGTTGCATCGTTCAAAATGTCAAAAACTGAACCAAGAGAATTCGGTTCTCTGCCACCTGCCCCGAAGGCTGTCACTGCTATGTTCGTACACTTTGAAAAGCTTGGCCACAATCCAGTCCCAAAATTTGATGAGAACAATGTTCCAAGGAATCACAAGTTAGTCGCATGTACACAAAGCAGCACTGTCACTCGGGATGGCCTAAAAGTCGGGCCGGGTCGACTGGCTGTCCCTCTTTCGTCGCATGCCGGGGTGGAGGCCCGTACGTGAAATCATGATCGACACTCGCCGGTCATTAAAATCAACAGTCTTTGATGAGTTACAGGTCATAGTCGATCAGAAAAGGATCTATTCTTCGATTCTGCAGGGTTCAGGTTCGACAGTCAGTCAAGTATTTTCCACTGTCACTTCGAATTTCAACCTTTCGCAAAATATAAACACTGGCTCGTCCGCCATTTCAAACTGTTGCGTAACTGTTTACTTCCAAGAAAATAAGTAGGTCAGACAATTCCATTATAGTGTGGCCAGGGGGGTACAGTAACACGGCACACAAAACAATAGGCTGGTTTCGGTCTTGTGGAGTTATGATTATAAAACCAAGCTCTTAGGTGTTACATTATTGCAGTCAATAAACAGTAGTGTGTTTTCTTTTGACAGAATATGTTTTATGTTGCAATATTAAAAAAAATACGAACGGAACCTACCACTCCTTTATCAGACGAGTTCAATTCGCTTCTCATCCCATGCCGGATTATGCAGTGTCTTCCGCAGGACGAGGAAGTTCGATGTTAAATCGGTTATGGCAGAATGGAATTAACATACTGTGTTTGGAAATTAGATGAATGTTTGACTTCGGCTTCAAATGAAATTTAGAGACTGTCAATTCGGTCTAACATTCATCTAATTTCCAAACACAGTACGTTTATCTCCTAAGTGACAAGCGGTTTTTTTCATTTGTGTCAAATGTTCCGTGCTTATCCGGTTTTGTTTTCAGGGGAACAGTTGGTTTGGTATGACGTTATGAAATGCAGAGACAAAACAACTCAATCGGGAGAATCGAGAACCAACTTTTATAGATCAACATGTTACTGATGATGAAGACAATAATATCTCTCCATCACACTCCTTTTCTTACAGAGGACTAAGATATACCAGAGACACAAATTGATGTGCTTGCAATGATACTATAGAAACCTCTCTTACACCTACACTCATTACCCAATACTGGATCTTTAAAGAGAGATGAGTTAGTGAGTTTGATTTAACTGGAATCGTGTTATAGCATGTGTATAACTTCTCTGAGAGGCATTAAGAATTTGGGGTACAAAGGAAGGATATGCATATATAGAACCTATGCCGAAACGTCATTCCTGTTGTTATATCGAAGTTTTTCATCCATGTGTTCTTATCGTTCCTTGAAGTGATGGGTATGGAAATCCCCAACTGTTCAACAATAACTAATAATAATAAAATACTCACGGAAATACAAATAAAATTAGTTTGGCGTTTATTTCGTAGTTTTGAACACAACTAAAGTTTGATTGTTAAATATTCTATGACTAAGTTTTGTTTTGAACACTTTTTGTAAAATCATCCGAAATAGATGCGTTTACACTAAAGCAAATCGTGTTATTTTCACCCCTTGATGTGCTTGCAATGGCACTGTATAAACCTGTCGTATAGTCGTACATCTACACTCATTACCCAAAAAATTATCTTTAACGAAAGGTGCGTGAGCGAGTTTGATTTAACTTTAATTATGTTATAACACGGCATATAACTTCGACTTTTCTATAGGTATTTAGAGGTTGGACTACAAAGGAAGTACAGGAGTATATAGAACCTATGCCGAAACGTCACTCCCGTTGTTATAAGGAAGTTATTCATCCATCATTCATTCTTATCCTTCTTTAAAGTGATGTGGATGGAAATCCCGAACTGTCCAACAATAACTAAAACTGGTTTTGCGAAGATATATATCGCAGTGTGAACAAGTAAGTTGTTTATTAGATGGAAGAAATTACAACTGTCAGACAGTTTTGTAACGATAGTGTTTTCATCGAAACAACAGAATATTTGGGGTTTGTTTTGTTTTGTTTTGTTTCAATTATCTTTTTATTTCAGAAAAACCTGTTACAAATTTGGGCTCCAGGCCAGGGAAGCAGAAACCCCAGTGAAAAGTGAAAAGAGATTGAAGCAGCAGGCTTCTGTTTTTGTTTTGTTTGTTTTTTAAGACATTAGACAAGTACACTGAATTCACTCACACATACACACTGACAGAATAGGTAGCAAATTACATGAAGTATATAGTATATAAGGTAAATAACTAGCACATGGTGGATGATATGACACATTGATGTTATGTACTGTGATATAGATTTGGGTGAGAAACTTAATATGGTGTTATACCGATGGCTGGGAGTGTGCTACTGGTCTAACCTGACCCATCTCAGTTTGAGGGCTCCACTGAATTTGTGAATATCAACCGTGCCAAAACCACCGTCCTTATGTGACTTACAATCTAGTGATCTCTTAATCTCGCCAGGCTTACCACTCCAAAGGAACTTGAATACAATTTGATTCAATTCCTTCAAAAAGTGCCCTGGTGAGTTGGGTAGAGTATAGTTGGCTTGAGAATAGATAATTGAGTTTTGATACAAGTAGAGATTTAATATTTGCAATTCTACAAAGTGAGGTAACCAATCTCTTCTTCCATCGGCTAATGATCTGACGCATTTTGACCAACTTGCTATCATAATTCTTTCCCAACAACTTATTCATATCTGTATCGAAATTGATACCAAGAATCCTAAAGGTGTCTGGGTTCCATTTTACTTTTAGTTTGGGTATATATTTTACAGAACAGTTTTTCTTTGAGCCAATCCATACAACTTCAGATTGGTCATAATTGGTATTTAAACCTGAAATATCTGCAAAAAGATTTAGAATAACAACTGTAGATTCAAAGGAAGTTCTTGAGCCATCTAAGATGAATTCTGTGTCATCTTCATACTGAGTGAGAAGATATTCCTCACTACCAACTGTGATGCCTCTGATGTTCGGATTTTGTCTTACTAACCCAGCCAAGATTTCAACACAAAGAATATAGATGTATGGCGATAAGGGATCATACCTGTCTACAACCTCTTTGAATGGAGAACCAAGTTGACAAAGAACCATTTATGACAAGACAAGATTTGATATCATTATACATGAAATTGATCCATTTCTTAAAGTCATCACCAATATTAAAAAACGACTGTGTTATATCTATTAATGACCACGAGACGGAATCGAAAGCCTTTTCAAAGTCTATCAGGAAAAGCATCCCAGGAACTTCCTTTGATTCTGCATGCTGTATGATATCATGGAGAAGTCTAATATTATCTCCTAATATATCGTCCTGACATGAACCCAGTTTGATCAGTACTAATCAATTTAGGAAGAACTTTCTTTAATCTTTCTGCAGGAACGGAGGATAAGAGTTTGTAAGAACAATTAAGGAGTGATATAGGTGTCCAGTTTTTGAGGAATCTTTTAGGTTTATCTCCTTTAGGTATGCAAGTGATAATACCTTGCCTTTGAGTAACTGAAAACTGGCTTTTGAGAAGCTGTAGTTCAACGAACGTAAAACGAACTCTGAAATATCATTTATAAAGCTTGTAGAATTCATAGGAAAACCCATCTGAACCTGGGCTCATATTGTTGGATGACTTTTTCAAATACTCAAGTAATATTATCTCTTGCCAACATTTCCATCAAGTCTAAAATTTTAATTTCATATTTATTGTCCTAGCTACTTATTTACGTTAAACATTACGAATAAAATGAGCTATTGCTTAATTCAAGAAATTTACACTGTTTTCAAGTTTTCACGTACCCGAGCCTCCAAAGCTTCTAGTGTAATTCTCATTGCCATTTTCTTGATTCAGATACCATGGACAAGCGAAGGAATAATGCATTGTGCTGGGTTCCTTATTGTGTTTATATGGGAGAAACAGATTTGGCCTACCTTCAAAACAACTTCTCATGAGATCAAAAGTCAAAATGGCGGCAATTGTGTGTTGGGGCATTGTGGGTAATAACAAATACCTAATCTTTTTTCGATTGGCAGGTATGAAAACATTATCTGACCCAATTTGATTGTGATTTCAAGACATAAAAGACGAAAATGACCACTTCAGTACATAAAACCGTTGCTTTAATAAAATGTCACGAGTTCGCGTGCCCACGGATTACCGACTCATTACTTCCGATTTCGTTTGTCAGCACCTGAATCAGGTAAGATCCAGTTGTTTTTACAGCAATTTAATTTTGTTAATAGGTGCCCGTTAAGACGAGACAACCCCAAGGAAGCCGACACACGGACCCCGACACACAAATGACATGACACTGATTGTTTGTCAAGTACTTGAACTCGCTGTCAAAGTATACTAACTTTAAATGCTTTTAATGGTAAACATTACTCACTACCTCAATTCATAGTACAATTCCCTGATATTCTAGTTATTGAGAAATCCGGTAATGTAAGAACCGGATTGACAATTGTTTGAATGACATTATACTAAACTTCCTAATTGCTTATACTCTTTCACATTCTAAAGCAAACATAATTAAACCGATTTTCACCTCAAATTTCACTTTTTGACGTTTAAGATTTTCCATTTCTGCAGTGAAAATTGTTACTCATCGTAGAATATCATCCATCTATATGTATTTAGATTTTTACAATTCCTCATGATATGAACTGACTGACTGAGTTTGGTTTTACGCCGCTTTTAGCAATATTCCAGCAACATCACGGCGGGGGACACTAGAAATGGGCTTCACACATTGTGCCCATGTGGGGATTCGAACCCGGGTCTTCGGCGTGACGAGCCAACGCTTTAACCATTAGGCTACCCCACCGCCCCCATGATATGAAATGACGATAAATAATTGGTATTAATAACAATTAAGATTAAGATTGTAATAAATGATATTGTTCATCTAAGCTTGTCAGAATTCACAGTTATTTGTCGTACACAAGTAAAGCACTTCATAGGTAAATGTAGTCATATGTGTATTATATATCAAAATTATAACAGTATAGTGATTTGGTGTCCCACAGTATCAGTTCTTTTCACATACTCAACATCTTGGTTCAACAAAACAAGTAAATAAAAAGTATGTACCTTTTTAAATGCTGAGTCAGTTCACCGTTCAAAGTGTTAAACTTGTATATATTAATCATTGTTTTATATTTTATTTTTAGATAAAGAAAGTGTCTCATCCTCAGTTTGGTAAAGCAGACAACTGAACCCTGGACCTGCCTCATTTATCCCAATCCAGACTAAGTGTGCCTGGTAGTAGTAGTTATTTGCTTTATTTTACGTCGCACGCACAACTAAGGTATTTCGGCGACGGGGTAGTACACCTGAATCCAGGACAAAATCCACCCGGACAAAATCCACCCCAAAATTGCAACCTAGGACAAAATCCACCCGGACAAAATCCACCCCTAAGAAAAAAACAAACTAATGACGTGTTTAGTCACAGATGAATTTTATTCATATCAGTCATTCATAATTGAATGATTACGTACTGATCAAAGTGTGAGACTACTTAATGATACATGAAAGAGGACTGATCAAAATGGGACAAATGGAGAAACATTTAATGTTTGAAAAAACATCTAGGAACAACAGCCACTTAGGAAAACGTAAATGCTATCAAAACAATGCTTGAGAAAAGGAACTTGTTCAAAGATCAGGACACACTAAAACTTTTAACAATAGCAATTTGAGAAGGGTTATGTCCATTTTTTTGTTAAGAAGAGGTGGATTTTGTCCGGGGTGGCAATTTTGGGGTGGAACAGTACACTTATTAAGAAATGAGAGGGGAACAAAAAATAGAAGAAATAGAAATTTTGAAAGAGTGGTGTTACTGCAAAAACAAAAACAAAAAAAACTGAGCTGGACAAAGGCCATTTATAGTTGTTGTTCCGTTATCCCACCATTTGTATGTTTAGTATGATTATTGTGAAGTTTGTGTGTAAGGTAGCGGAAACATGATACTGCTTCATTTCTCTGCCTATCACATGTATGAGTTGATAGTGAATAAAAAAGAATGTGAAGAAATTCAATGTGTCTTTTGTTTTTTGTATCATCCGTTTGAAGACACATTAAAGAAACCAACTGGATTACTCAGTATGCGGATGGTTTCCAGGTTTCAGGAAACCAAGTCATTTCTGTAGTGAATTCTTTGGAGGTAATTGGACCATCTAACAGCTTACTCTCATCATCACTCAGTTTGCGTAGATCATCCTCAAACAAAAGATCATCCAAGTCCTTTTCTACAACTGAGTGTTCCCTGGATTGATAAATATTTTCATAGAATAGCTTAGCTTCTTGAGCAATATATTGTGTATTCCATCACTACTTTCAATAAATGTCATTGATTTACTGACATGGTTTCTATTTTCTAAATTGCAGTAATATTTAGAAGCCTTCTCACCTTCGTCAATCCATCTCACTCTATACCGAATAATGACACCTTCCATCCTTTTTTTCCTAATCTCTTCTAGCTCTTTTCTCTTAGAATCTAGCAATTTAAAGTCAATATAAGTATCGCTATGTTCTAAATCTGTAATTTCAGTCTCAAGATCTTTTTCTTTCTTATTTCTGTTGCGTTTAACATAAGAAGAGTATGGAATCGTCTTACCACGAATTTCCATAAGCAAAATTTAAAAAAAAATTGATAATTGATTTTGAATGTAACTTCTGGGTCTGAGTGTTTTAGGTCAGATTCATTTACATCACCATCTGGCAACATTGACCTTACACTGATTGACAATAATGGTGATTACCTCCTTAACTGCATCAACATATACTTTGTCTCTTAATAAAGAGTTATTCAATTTCCAGTAAGTATTCTTTCCTTCTTCTTAAGTGAATCTGATATTAATGTCAACAACAGAATAATCCGTTCTATAACCCAAGCGGATGCTAGGATTGATAATATATGGACACAGATTTTGTGAGAATAGAAAGAAATCCAGACGAGCTTGTTTTATTGGAGACTTTCGTCTCCAAGAGAATTTTGAAAGGCCGGGATTATAGTCTCTTCAAACATCAACGAGATCGAGCTCCCCCATTGTATCCAAAACCTGATTTCGAGCATTAGGATTGTTTAAGTGATGATAATTAAATGTATCCAAGGGAGGTTGGGGGGTTAGATTAAAATCACCAGCAACACCTTAAAAACCATCACCAAATGAGATAATCTTGTCCTTACACAGGAATATTAGTAACAGAATATTTGTCACTAACACCAATAGTAGATGTAAGTAATTACAGCTGTCAGTGTTGGTTACGCACGTACAGAGAGGCCGTTCTTTGTGACAAGTAGTGAACCATATGGGAAACACGTTGAAGCTCTTTGTTCCGCAACGTGTGCCACATGCAACATATGGAACAGGCTTCCCAGTGACAGTATAATAGTGGCATAGTGTCTTTAAGTAATCGTATCGATTTGTTACATCATCATAATAGCTATATATATGACCAATAGTAGTGATGTTTTTTAATGCACACGGAAACATGCTAACAATACCAAATACTTGGTGGAACACTCCAGTTGAACAAGACATCAGACGAATGACGTCATCTGCGTTACTTCACTTATATATTGATCTCCTGAGTTCCGGGTTTCACCTTCTCTTTTCTGTTGAGAACTTGAGTGCCGGACACAATGCCATACGGTCGTAAGTGGTAGATGTAAAACTCCAGATCGTACATCTTCTGTGGGGGCACGTAGTGGAAGGTTATTGCGTAGTCGGAGATGCTCTCTATACCCTAAAATATGTAATAATAATGTTAGATCTTTACATTAAGCCAAGAAATACTTACATGTTAACTTTCATTCTATACCTAACAGTCCAGAATTATCAAAATTCTAGCCGTTTGATTCGTAGTTTAAAATCGTTATGACATCAACATTAAAGCCAATTGTCATAAACAAAGTGGATTTATGTTTACTTCTCTTGTGGTCTATTTGATATAGAAGAGCGGAAAATGTAACATTGTTTCATGCAAATTGAGTTATGTCATTGAAAAAACCCTTTAATATTTATTGTTATATCTTCTGATAATCTATAATCGATTTCTTAGTTTTTAATCATTGAAAATATGTATTTTGGTTGATATGATCTAGGCTTGATAGAATTAACCCCTTCTTTGTCAAAAATGTTAAATCCCATGATGTATATATAGGATTATAAACCTTTCTTTCATAATGCAGAAATACATTTAAAAAACTTTCTGGCTGATTAAAAACCTCCAGCATTAAACTGCTTCGTTTGAGTCGCTATAAAGCAGGATGATACAGGCTTCCACCCCCGATGCTGACTGGATGATTCACCTGACCAACCGCCAAAAAGGTTTAGTACGGTACCAAAGTAAAATTTCTGATTCTGATGCGATAAACACAGATTTCCTATAGATAAATATAACATACTCTGTTTCACTTACCTTCTTAGCACCATTTGCATCGTACTTGTAAAACCACTCTGGGTAGTGACCCACCACGTGTGCCTCTGGCCGAAAACAATGGAATCTGCTCCTCCCGAGAGCGTCTGTTGTGTTGACTGTCCTCACCCCCAGGTTCTCCATACATCTGCCGAACTCTACATCTTCTGCACCACCATCATGCCTGCACAGTTTGGGATCGTGTCCCTTCTCCCCATATCTCCTCAACGCCTCCTTACTCAGCACATACCCTCCTCCGCCACTGTAGAACCCTTGTTTTAATATTACCTTAAAATGATGGCCAAAAAATACAGGTTCGGATTTGTTTTGGGACGTCAAAAAGTATCGGAGATTTTCTAAAATAACATATGTGTCATCGTCAGCTTTCATGAACCAGTCAGCATCATCAAAGTGGTTTTCGTAGATGTAGCGGAAAGCCTGCGTCGTTTTGGCCGTCAGATGCTCCCGCCCTTCCGATACGTTTAATCCGACTGTAGGGAACTTTGGATCTGTCACAGAGCTCATGAAGAGGACTTTGTTGCAGCGCCTTGTCCACGTGTCACGAACTACACGTGCTTTAACATCCAGGTTCTTTGGTGACGTCATAATCCAGCACAGTACTCGCTCCTTTTGATACAGAGCCTTGGATATGACATCACTATCTGTTCAAATAAAAAAGGAATTATTTTTTAGCTATTTCGATAAGCAGTTTCACACGGTGATATTGGTAGATTGATACGTTGCAAAGTTTCAAAGATGAGTGAGTGAGTGAGTTGATGGATGGTTCAGTGGGTTTGGTTGGTTCGGTTGGTAGGTCAGGCGAGTGAGCGAATTGGGTCTTACGCCGCATATAGTTATATTCCAAGAAGATTATGGCGGTGATCCCAGAAATTGGATTCTCATTGTGAGCCGATGTGAGAAATAGAACACAGAATTGTGAATGGAGTGTGAAGAACACCTTAGCCAGGAAGGGCTGGGTTGGGGTATGGGGTGCTGGGGACGTGCTATCTGTACCGAGGGACTGCAGAGACGGGATACATACTGTGCACCGATGGGGGAAATCAAAGCAGTTACGTCCGCATAATTAAATAGAACTTTGCTTTCAACTTGTCCCAAAAGACAAGCATTTTGGTGTATAAAGACAACGATATGTCTTGGTTTTGCTTATCGCAATGACAATAATACCGCACAACCTGAATCATGTTCTTCTGCATGATCTTACAGTTGCCTTGTGTCATTCATCTTCTCTTAGAGATGATAAGTGCAGTCACATCCTTAAAGGCATAGCGTCTTCGTATAACAGATAGTTTAGGACGAACCTGTTTAATACTATACACCTATTCTCACGAAATGGACACCATTTGTAATTTTGCGTGTCTCCGCTTTAAAAATACTTTGATGTACTCATTTCACTTTTTCATTTCATGTTTATATTAGGCGACAGGCTTAGTAGGTACCCGAGACATAGAAATTGTTTAATGATCTGTTATTCATGTGTGACTCAGGGTAAAAAGTTAGTCAAAATCACCAAAACGTGCTTGTCTCCAATGATAGTATAACATTTTGAGTGAATATGTCAAAGTAAATAGTCATCTAATGTGAACAAAACAGCTCACATTTTCGACATTAGGTATTGTCCTTTTCGTTCGTACCCAGAACATGTCTTCATCTGGTTTAATTTTTTTAGATTTATGTTTAATGTGATGTCTCCAAAAAAGTATAATGTACGTTACCCCATGAAAATGAACATATAATTATTATGAAAATTAATGGAGGGTGTTATCGGTGCAATAAAGCAATCTGATAAAGTTGGTATCCAAATCTGATAGCTATGCAAATTACGTCAATCCACGAACTACTTTCATAAAACTCCATACACGCAATGCGAATCCTAAAACGTTAACGTATTCACTGATGACGTCGTCGCGAGTTTACACTGTTTGTAAACAAACATGGCTGCCCCCTTTCTCAAAATTGGTGATTCTGTAAGAATTGATGACAGAGGTCATTGCCAAAGGCTCGCATAATACAATTTATATTCCTAAGATATGATATAAATGATACGGAAACACACTCCGTTAATAATCTCTATGTATTCATTAGATAGTATTCCTTATTTGCAGTTTTATGTTGGGACAATACAATATCAATTTCATAGGCAATAAATTTCAGCCGATGTATCACCATGATGCTTCACAGGTTTAAAGTTGTAGAGAACTGTATAGTAATGTTTGATGATCAGTTCATGCAAATTAGTTTACCCAATCATGATTGGCGATCTTCGTGTTCTCCTTGACATCTGACCTTTGATAGTTTGAATTTTGTGAACAATAAATGATATTCTAACATTAAAATGACTTATCATTAAAAAGAAGAACTTTATTTTTTTTATCATTTCCAGCTATAAGTTGGTGCACATTTCGTGAGAATAGGTGAGTGAGTGAGTGAGTATTTATGGAATATTTATTAGGTGTCACCAGATCCCGGAAAGAAATAACGCCCTCTTTTATGAGATAAACTGAGACATGTGACTGCCTAGGGCAAAACAAATGCCGATCAGACATTTCATAAAACACCAATAAAGTAGATTATTTTCACAAAAAAGCCACTTCCTCAATGCAACATGAAACGCCCTAAAGACCACAGTAAGTCAGTGTAGTGAGTGAGTTTAGTTTTACGCCACACTCAGCAATATTACAGCTATATGGCGGCGGTCTGTAAATAATCGAGTTTGGACCAGACAATCCCGTGATCAACAGCGCGAGCATCGATATACGCAATTGGGAACCGATGACATGTGTCAACCAAGTCAGCGAGCCTGACCACCCGATCCCGTTAGTCGCCTCCTACGACAAGCATGGTTTACTGAAGATCAATATTCTAACCCAGACCTTCACGGGTAGGAAAATATACACAAATCCAGTCGTGCATACATTAACAACTGTTTTTGTGTATATTAGAAATAACCACGTACACAGAAATCATATGAAATCTCAAATCATCGCGTGTTTTGAACTGTCCCATCCCCATACCCGTGAAGATCCGGGTTAAATTAGATAAGATTACTTTATTCACTCAAGGCTACAATGTCATGGTTATACATACATTGATATCATGTACATGAATAATACTATAAGGGTAATGCTATTTTTGAGGGCATTATCATTTGCAGAAGGCCGAGGTCTTCCATTAACTGCCCGACGAAGGAGGGCAGTTGAAAAAGACGAGGGCTTCTGCAACTGATAATGCCCTCAAAAATAGCATTACCGTTATTATTGTTAAATTACATGGTATTTGTGTTGAAAAGGAAAAGGAAACAATGAAGGAATTTGACTGTACGTTTACTCAAAACCAACTTCTGACGGGGTTGACTGACCGAATGCAATTACGTCATCGAACAATTCAAGTGACGTCACAACAGAAAGTGACAATATTCGACCTTTGCCTTTGACAAGACCATAGCCTGCAACATGTCAAACTATGTCAGTGTTCGGTTTTGGTCCAACAACAACGTTAATAGTGCAATTGTTGAGGTTAGCACCAACAAGAAAGCCAATATTACCGCTATTTAAAGAGGGAATTCGGGTTCCTTTGACTGGTTTGACCCAGAATATCTGCCAGTCCAAAGCCAATGTCGAATAAACCGTAAGCCTATGCACCCACTATGACGTCACTTGACAACAGAACTGATAGTGGCCCGTCGTTAAGGTTGAGCGGTCCAATATCATTTGCAGCGGCCCGGAAATTTCTGATAATGGGACGGCCGTTTCATGATAATTCCATGATGTATTTTAGCTATAAAATGATTTATCTGAATTTACAGAGCACATGGCGACAAAATATGGACAGTCTTATTAAAGTGGATACTTATTTGTCTGGAATAAATTGATCATGGTATAAGAGAAACGTGTCAGATCAGTTCTACTTCAAAATATATTTACACTATCAATAATTTTGCCTTGAGCAAATGTCAAGCTTCTTGAAGACGACCATTGATAAAACAAACGGAAATATTATATTTTACTTACGTTGCCAGAGGGTTTCTTATTTATTCATTTTGTTTGTAAAATATAAATATTGACACCCCACTTATTTCTCTAGGCATGTCATTTAGCCAATGCTCAGTTAATACATCATAACTGTGACCGTCTCAGACGCCATGACATTGCCGAAATAGTGACGCGAAACCACGTAAACACTGCGTTACTTTGTGGGACTCTTCGTTTCCGGGTGGGATACCGGGTAACAATGACCCAAAGGTACCCCCAAGATGTGTCTACTTATCGGGTCACCAGACACTATGACTTTGCTTATGTGTCACCATGCGCCGATTGTATGAACATGCCATAGTTTTTTTAAAAACGGTTGCCTGGTAACGACTCGAAAACACTCTGCTGTGGCTTACCCTAATATTGCTCACTGCCAAACGAAACATGCATTCAATTGTCCACTCGCTGTACTACACGTCCAAGATTTGCAATACTGCTGGACTTTCTGTCACATAAAGTCTATACGCCATGATATACTACTCACACTTTGCTAAGGATCACAAAAATTCACAGCTTTACTTAAACGTAGATTTATAATTTGAAAAAGTATCCATTTAAAACTAGATAAATAATAATATGGTAACCCTTCTTTAGGCAAACAGTCACTTTAATCTAACCTTATGCACTTGATACATGAGTAACCATAGAAATTGTGTTCATGGCACCAATCAACCATTTTGCAAATCATGGAATGAGTCATTGACAAATAAACAAGACCTGTCAATAGCAGGTATGAGATCAACACGAAGCAGTCACATACTGAAACCTAGGATCCATGCTTACATTTAGCTTAGATATTTAAACCAAATTTGACCCTACATGGTAGTTTTCTATTGAATCCATGATTTGATCCTTAGCAAAGTGTACATAGTATATATAACAAGGGCTGAAACCTTGGTACTTGACTACGAGGCGGGTAGGAGCATTACTCGTCCAAGAAGAGTTATCTCCCCTCTCACTCCACGTGTAGTCGTGTCGGCCCCAACATGGCTGAGCAACCACGCTCCAAAGTTTGGAGCTGTATTTAAACTTGTGTCATTTACTCATACCCGTAGATCATGCAATTACTAATCAGTTTGAGAATATATCACAACATAGCACATGTTGTTCGTTACGTAAGGATGGGTCCATTGTTTATTTCTTATTCAATGAGCTTCAAATATAACGTACGCATAGTATAATGTACGCAATAACTTGGGTGGTCATATGGGATCATTATTTTTTAAATGAACGTACCTCAATAGCTTAAAATTCGTACCTGAAATAAAGACGTAGTTACTATTCAAAAAACAAGAAAAAACGGTTTCAGAGCTTCTAATTTTCACAAGTTTCCATGGGTCATATCCAAGGACCCCCCAGCAGATCTCAGCTCACTCACTCACTCGCAGTCTCGAGGACGAGTACTGGAGTACTCGCAAGCAGTTGAAGGCGAGAACACGAGTACTTTCAGTTACTACCCGTTTCAACTCTAGATATAACTGAAATACATTTTCTATGGGTACCTATTTTTTTCACCCACTCGTCCGAGAATCATTTGCATAAATAGAAATGCATATGTTCATGTTTCAGATGCATTGAGAAACACGAACATGAGCACACAGTGGTAAAACGTACGGTAGCTTACTGTTCACAGTTGCCTCCGTTTGACGCTGATCGTTACCTCGAAGTCCCAGTCAGATCCTGGGTTGATCAACGCCATCTCCAATTTCAAAAAGACAGAAACATACTTGACCACCGTTATTTCAAGGTTTCATTCCACACACCCTGATGTGCTTGCAAAACTGTTCACATTGGTGTCAAAGCAAACCTTCTCACTGATAAGGATGGAATACTACATTGTCAAATTGGAACTAACCTTTATGGAGATGTGCTTGCATAACTTTCACATTGGTGTCAAAGCAAACCTTCTCACTGATAAGGATTGAATACTATAATGTCAAATTGGAACTAACCTTTATGGAGATGTGCTTGCAAAACTGTTCACAGTTGTGTTAAAGCAAACCTTGTCACTGATTAGGCTGGAATACTATAATGTCAAATTGGAACTAACCTTTATGGAGATGCAGGTCCTCAAATTTGATATTTCCAGACAAGTATTGTCCCAAAGACTTCTGAAATTCTTCGTGTAGGTCCTTCGATTGATTCTGCATCTCTCTTGCATGAACAGCTTGTGAATTTACCGTGTTCACAAAAGATGAGACGAAATGAAAGTCAGAATGTTCGATTCTAAAGAACACAACACAAATGGACGCCAAAGAAAGCCCGACTGTTAAACCTAACACAGCAGCAGATAGTTTTGTGACAGGAGGGAAGGCACCCATTATTTCGCTGTTGTTGATTTACATCCACGTAACTGGTACTAATATCCCTTTGTAACTTGTAACTTGTACCTCTTCAGGATTATGTGTAATGTTTTTAAACCTGATCTCCTTGGTAGCCACAGTATTGATACTGGCTTTCAACTCTCCAACGCCTTTCTCACCGTTAATCGCCGATCGCTTAAAGAGGCTGAAAAGAAACAACGATCAATCAGACTGTGGTCATTTGGGCAGTTATGATGCTTTTTTAAAAGGTTACAAGATTTAAACAAAATTATTCACCTTCATGTATTCCGTGATCACCTTTCGCAGGGTATCTGCCATCAGGTGAGGTGAAATTGGGTTTAACGTCGTGCTTGAGAATATTTCGCTCACATGACGACGTGCATGTGTGTGTATGTGTATGTGTGGCTGCTTGTACTAGCCCAGACTTAAGCTGGTTTTATAGTTCTAGCCCACTGAGATACCATGCCGCAGTGAAGCATGAATACCCCACTCAGACACATTATACTATCTCCGAGCCGACCAGTCCTTGTTGTACTCATTAATGCCGAGCGCCAGGCAGGGACCAACAAGTACTACATTTTAACGTCTTTTGGTATGACGCGGTCGGGGATCGAACCCGCGACCTTCCGCTCTCCGGGCGGACGCTCTAACCACTACACCACGGAGGCGGTCGTATCTGCCATCAGGACATCTCAATAAGAAACGTTTAAAATTCCCAAACCTAGGTGTATATATAACTGTAGTTGTGAATCGGCAACATTTCCGTTTTGAAGTTTGTGTCAGTATGTAGCAGATGTTCATTAAACAGCGAGAGCTAAACTGTTGTTTGGCGTATCATGATATGTGAATACGTCATAAAAAAGTTGTATAACTGAAACCATTAAGCAAGTCATTTAGTGACTGTTATAAGGGTAATGCTATTTTTGAGGGCATTATCATTTGCAGAAGCCCGAGGTCTTCCATTAACTGCCCGACGAAGGAGTGCAGTTGAAAAAGACCGAGGGCTTCTGCAAATGATAATGCCCTCAAAAAATAGCATTACCGTTATTATTGCTAAAATACATGGAATTTGTGTTGAAAAGAAAAAGGAAACAATGAAGGAATTTGACTGTAAGTTTACCAAAATCAACTTCTGACGGGCTTGACTGCCCGAATGCAATTACGTCATCGAACAATTCAAGTGACGTCACAAAAGAAAGTGACGATATTCGACCTTGGCCTTTGACAAGACCATAGCCTGCAACATGTCAAACTATGACAGTGTTCGGTTTTGGTCCATCAACAGTCTTAATAGTGCAATTGTTAAGGTTAGCACCAACAAGAAAGCCAATATTACCGCTATTTGAAGCGGGAATTTGGGTTGCTTTGACTTGTTTGACCCAGAATATCTGCCAGTCGAAAGCAAATTAATGTCGAACTATGACGTCACTTGACAACAGAACTGATAGTGGCCCGTCGTTAAGGTTGAGCGGTCCAATATCATTTGCAGCGGACCGCAAATTTCTGATAATGGGAGGGCCGTTTCATGATAATTCCATGTATTTTAGCTATAATGATTGACAAACAATATGTTTCTATAGATATCATTGGATAATGGCCACAAGACAACAGAAGACCCAATGTCGTAGCCAGTGTGTACGATGCCGAGCAATGAACAAAGTTACCGAGCATGACTACAATAACCACTCACTCACTCACTCACTCGTTTACACAAGACTCACAACGTAAGACCAAATGTCGTATCTATACTGTCAGAGTCGATCGGATATAGTTTCATTATAGTTTCTTAGCACATATTTCATAATATCTTTCAGTGATTCAATCATAATCTTCACAGGTAGTTTTCTCGTTATGTCGAAAGGAATTCATTTTATACAACAGTGAAGACTTGGTATTCTTCTGTACTGTACATCGATATATACCATTTTTATTTTCAATTGTAACAATAATAGACACATAAATCACAACTACCGAGAAATGTCCATATCAATATGAATTAAATTTAGTATTCAAATGATATGTCCCGTGCCCAACAAATACTAATAGGTCAATCATAAGTAACTTGGTTTATGTAAATAAAGTGAAACGTGCACATGGTTGACGTTTGACGTGGTACATTTTAAACTTAACAGACCAATACTATTACTTGTGATTTGTGGTCGTTCATGATGATGCATATTATAAGCGTCCACCAACGTTGTCCAGTAGATGACGGGCAATGAACCAAATTACCGAGCATGAAAAATAAAGTCGTTGCTTACAAGCAAACACTGAAAGTAAGACACTACTTGTAAAGCAGACGAGAGATTGGGGTAGCCTAGTGAGTTAAAGCGTTCGCTCGTCACGCCAAAGATCCAGGTTCGATTCCCCACGTGGGTACAATGTGTGAAGCCCATTTTTGTGTTCCCCCGCTTCATATTGTTGGAATATTGCTAAAAGCGGCCTAAACCTAAACTCACTAACTCTAAAGCAGACTTCCAGCGGTGTTTGCCAGTGATACAAGTTCCCCTTGGCATATTCCATGGTGTAACGTGTCTTCGGGGTAATAACGCAAAACATGATCATGTTGCGTATCAGTAGATTATCAAAACGGTAACTGTAAAACAGATGGCTCTTTTTAGTCAGTGTTTTAAGTTCCTCTCGAAACAGACTCAGCATCACATGAGAAGGTGTGTATACTTACAGTTCGATCTATTTGGATTTCCTTATAGATATATCATGACGTTGAAGTAATTATCTCCCTTTGTCAGCTAGCAATCTTTGTGACAGACCACGTATTAATCGTCGCAGCCAGTACTCGACTGTGGTACACGCATAGCTGGAGCTGTTAGCTACTACAGCTGTATTTGCTGTTGTGAGATTGTAATTGATCCACCATTGCTGCATTGCGTAAAACTCAATGCAAATCAATGATTCGCTTTCACGCTACGCTTTCAAATTCATGGCTCTGTTGCAACCACCCATCCACATAGGATCTCTCACTCACTCACTCACTCACTCACTCACTCAAGATTTAGACCAATGGTCTCAAATCAATCCATTACACAGTTTTGCCATACATTTTAAAATGTTTCAAACGTGTTCTTACCTGTCTGTCAAAGTTAGATAAAACGTCACCTTGATTCCATTCTAGTGTGTTTTTCTCATCGCTTAACTTATATCAAGGTGACGTCAAACGTTGACGCATGAACATACTGAGGATATTGTGTGCATCTGCACGATGTATTTATCATATGCCTCCTGGACATTCTATCTGAGAACATATTAGCTTATGAATAACCACATCTGTCCTAGACATCTACATCTATGCTGAAACGTATAAAGTATCTTGCCTAGATTGATACTCACAAACTTCCAAAGTACCAATGAAACAATACATCATTTATATTGTTTTTCATAAACCTAGAAATCATAGAATGCTAAAGTGGGACGCTGTATATCCTCCACATAACTCATACATGCATATGTTAAATGAACACACTTGTGTCATGTTTCCCCATTACCTGGTACCGCCCGTGTCATTTCAATATCACCTTGATCTCCGTTTCAGAATTTTTCAGTATTGTCATATTCATGGGATAAACTTGCCAGAAAAGTGAAGAGTATGATTCACGAACCAGTATCAAATAGCGATGATACCAGGTGCTCTCAGAAATGTTTTGTCCTGTTCCATTTAGAATGTACTCTTCGTAGAATGTCACATGTGGGTTGCCGAAGACCCGAGTAGCACAAACGGTACATCCCGTTTTAAGTTCCAATAATAAAAGGGGTGGTGGGGTAGCCTAGTGGTTAAAGCGTCCGCTCGTCACGCCGAAGACCCGGGTTCGATTCCCCACATGGGTACAATGTGTTAAGCCCATTTCTGGTGTGCTAAAAGCGGCGTAATCTAAACTCACTCACTCACTCACATGCGGGTAATCCACTATGCCGTATTGTGATGACATCACTGTTTCAAGTACGCATACATAAAAGGCGTTTCGGTATACGTTTTTCTTTACAAAGTGTTACCAAATATAACTCAAATTATCAAAATACAGCAAAACCCAAAATGAATGTGCACGTAGGGCAGTGCGTAATTAGGATCGGACATCACCCAACACCCCATTTGAGGAACAGTGTGGTTTCAGTATACAATATCGTGCACAGGCTCATGCAGCCAAAATACACATCTGACAGTCTAAACATTTAGAAACTATGCTAAATTAGTGTTGTAAGATATTAGGTTGTATTATTCACAATCAGCTGTGTGTGTGTGTATGTGTTCACAATTAGATGACACACTCATGGCCACCATCACAAACACATGCAACAGCAAGTCAAGTGTTCCCCTGAAAACACATCATAGGGCACAAGTCAACATGAGGCACTGCAGTCAGTCAAAGCATTCATGTTTCATATAGAGTAGTGAGTGAGTGAGTTTTGTTTTACGCCGCTTTAGCATTATTTCAGCAATTTCACGGCGGGGGACACCAGACATGGGCTTCACATATTGTACTCATCTGGGGAATCGAACTCGGGTCTTCGGCGTGACGAGCGAACGCTTTAACCACTAGGCTACCCGGCCGCCCCTTCAAAGATAGTAATCGTGAAGTGAAGTGAAGTATACCTTTTATTGTCTGTTAATTAATTCTCGATATGTGTCTTGAACAATCCCAAAGTATTATGGCCTATAACATTTATGACATTGTCAATCAACTACAACAGCTTGTCAACACCTTGCAAATTGTTTTGAAATGCCACACCTACTACTGTGTAAGCATATTTTTCCGGCTACCTGATTGGTCTAGCGGTGGTCACGTGACCGCCGACAGAAAAGCATATTGACTCCAACGCAGGTCCGACCAAAATATTTTGACGTAACTTTATTGGTTTGTATCGAAAATAAAATTAATTTTCTTGACTAAATGGACATGCTTTGGTTTCGGTCAATATTGCTTTTCGCGGGTCCATAAAAACAGGTATTGACCTCATCACCAGTCTGTAATTGTATAATTTACACGTTCAATATAGTGTATAGTTCAAAGCACGTTGTGCATTACACAGTTATCTTTTTTTAATATCATGGACTATGGACTCATCGATTTTTGTCAAATGAATTTGCGCCTGGCTTGACAGCAAGGTTTAACACAACTGATCATTATTTGTTATATGTTTGATAACTTTTTTGTGTGCAATAAAACGTGTCTGATTTCAACAGTGGCAGCTGCAGTTGCAAACAACGAAATGTTTCAGCATTTCAGTACGTTTATATAACCAACGCAAATATTCGTAAAATGTCTGTCTGTCTGTCTGTCTGTGTTACATTCTGAGACCCAGCCTAGCAAGAAGAGATGTGGTTACTCTTGTGCAGTTGCAATCATTTTGAAACGTGTCTTGTTTAGATGTCCTGATGGCAAAAGCCCTGCAAACTATGATCAGGGAAAATATCTCCGATAAATGTCATTTCAAATTTTGGACGTGCATAATTCTGTTTACATCTAGTAGGCTCTCAAAACTGTATCATCTCTGTCCAAATTTCCATTGCCTGATGTGTCAGTTAAACGGTCAGCCATAAATGTGAGAAACGCATAGTTGAAAGCCAGTATCGATAAATGCGGCTTCCACGAAGATCAGGTTTTAAAACGTTACACATAACCTTGAAGAGTGAAATATTTATAAGGCATATGTTGCAAAGGGATATTCAACTCAAATACGTGGATGTAAAAGCGCCATTGCTGGAAAATGGCTACGTCCGCTCCTGTCACAAAACTATCTGCAGCTGTGTTAGGTTTAACAGTAGGGTTTTCGTTGGCGTCCATTTTTGTTGTGTTCTTTACAATGGAACATTCCGACTTTCATTTCGTCTCGTCTATTATTAACTCTGAACATCCACAAGCTGTTCATTCAAGGGGGATGCACAATCTATCCAATGGCCTCAATGAAGGATTTCAGAAGTCGTTGGGACAATATTTGTCTGGAAATATCAAATTTGAGGACCTGCATCTCCATAAAGGTTAGTTCCAATTTGACATTATAGTATTCCATCCTATAGTTTGGCATGAAATGCATGTGGACCCGTTTTTTTGTAAATATCTCTTCATCCAATCACCCAATCGGTCTCAAACTGTGCAAGTGGATGTTTTTTCAGACAACCTAATCACACTGTAAATCACCGATTTTATGCATTTGTATTAAAGAATCTGTCTATGTAACTGTCAACAAAATAAACAGCAGAACGCAGATGGCTTGCAGAGGGAGAGAGCCAATGACCTGTAACAGCGGCAGTTTTGAAAGCGTACTAGATGTAAACAGAATTATGCACGTCCAAAAATTGAAATGACATTTTTCGAAGATATTTTCCCTGATCATAGTTTGCAGGGCTTTTGCCATCAGGACATCTAAACAAGACACGTTTCAAAATGATTGCAACTGTACAAGAGTAACCACATCTCTTACTCTTATAACATTCGCGTGTAACTACGTTAAATGAGTGAGTTTGGTTTATCTCTGCGATTAGCAATGGTCAAGGAATATTACGACGGGACACATCAAAATGGATCAATAATCTATTCATCTATCAAGTAATGTATTTTATACATTGAAGGGAAATAAATAACTCATTTTGGCCATTAAGATACTCGTTCCAATACCCCATGAATGTCTTACGATGATATGTAAAAAGGTTATTTGTCTATTGGATGTGGCATGTAATATGTGTAAGATAGGGTGGCACTAATATGTCTGGTATGCGAAGACGGCATTTCCTTTACTTAGTTATGACTACACTTAACATCACTTAGAGCAGATGACTGACTGACTGACTGAGTTTAGTTTTACGCCGCTTTTAGCAATATTCCAGCAATATCACGGCGGGGGGACACCAGAAATGGGCGTAACGCATTGTGCCCATGTGGGGAATCGAACCCGGGTCTTCGGCGTGACGAGCCAACGCTTTAACCACTAGGCTACCCCACCGCCCCTAGAGAAGATGAGATAACATATGGCAACAATAAGATCATGAAGGAGAACGAGACTAGGGCATTGCGACAGTAATGTCACTGCGATAAGCAAAACCAAGACATTCGTTGTCTTTGAACTCACAAATATGTTGGAGAAGTTGACAGCCAAGTTGTAATAAATTATGCAGACGTAACCGGTTTGATTTCTCAGACTGGCTGTGGGTGGATCCCATTTTTTGCTGTGCCTCGGGAATATCAATCTTCCACAATCACTGTGTGAAATTGTTTGGAGAAATAGCTCAAGGATGATTCCTACTACGCTACACAGTGCGACTCCCCTTTTAGCATGTCCCCATTTCTTCTTACCGACAACCCTTACTCACCCGCCCGCCCCAAACCAACCCATTCAAACACCCACCAACTTACTCTTCTTTAAATAGTCGCAATCTATCACAATCGCCGTGTGTAATTGTCTATCAAAGATAATTCCTTCTTTATGGGAACAGATAATGATGCCATATCCAAGGCTCTGTATCAAAAGGAGCGAGTACTGTGCTGGATTATGACGTCACCAAAGAACCTGGATGTTAAAGCACGTGTAGTTCGTGACACGTGGGCTAGGCGCTGCAACAAAGTCCTCTTCATGAGCTCTGTGACAGATCCAAAGTTCCCTATAATCGGATTAAACGTGTCGGAAGGGCGGGAGCATCTGACGGCCAAAACGATGCAGGCTTTCCGCTACATCTACGAAAACCACTTTGATGATGCTGACTGGTTCATGAAAGCTGACGATGACTCATATGTTATTTTAGAAAATCTCCGATACTTTCTGACGTCCCAAAACAAATCCGAACCTGTATTTTTTGGTCATCATTTCAAGACACTTGTCAAACAAGGGTACTACAGTGGCGGAGGAGGGTATGTGCTGAGTAAGGAGGCGTTGAGGAGATATGGGGAGAAGGGTCACGATCCCAAAGTGTGCAGGCCTGATGGTGCTGGAGAAGATGTAGAGTTCGGCAGATGTATGGAGAACCTGGGGGTAAGGACAGTCAACACAACAGACGCTCTCGGGAGGAGCAGATTCCACTGTTTTTGGCCTGAGAAGCATTTGGCGGGTACATACCCAGAGTGGTTTTACCAGTACGATGCAAATGGTGCTAAGAAGGTAAGTGAAACACAGTATGTTATGTATGTATCTCGATATAATCTGTGTTATCTCATCAGAATCAGAAATTTCACTTTTTAGGCGGTTGGTCAGGTGAAAATTCCAATCATCATCGGCAGTGGAAGCTTGTATCATACTGCTTTAAAGCATCTCAAACAAAAAGGAGTTTATGCTAGAGGTTTTAAATAAGTCAGATGTAGTGTAACCTGTTGTGAAATTTGGATACATCTGTATTAGACAAATCTGTGATTATTGTACTGTATATATACATTGCTTCTCGGAAATACAATGAAAATTGGAATAGTGGAATATACACTAAGTCTTAGAATACACAAGAATACAAAGATTTCATGGTTTTAAGGTTTCATAATCCTACACACATCATGGGATTTAACTCACATTTTTAAAAAAGAAGGGGGGTAATTGTATGCATCGCTGGGACAGCCTAGTTCATATCAACCAAAAGCATATTTTCAATGATAAAAAATGAACAAATCTTTAAACCTGAAAAGATTTAGCAATACATATTAGTCGTAATATTTTCAGATTTTCAATGACATAGTTCCACCTATATGAAACAATGTTACGATGTAAACATATATTCACCCTGTTTATAGGGTACAGAGTTGATGTCATAAGTCTTCACAAGGCTGTATGACAAAAGGGATGATTTCAACTTCCCAATAGTCAACTTTCCTTTTATGTCGAGCAATATTCCGACAACTCCAGCCGTTGGTGTTTACATTTCACAACTTTTGAGATGCAATCGAGCAAGCTCTTTTTACCAAGATTTCAAAGAGCCTCATACCACTCTTGCTCGGAAGTTGTTTGATCAAAGTTACAATTGCATCAAGCCTCAGTAACTCTTTCAAATAGTGTTATGGTTGACATGTGGATGTCATTTCCAAATCTGATGCTACAGTGCCAAAAAATATGTCCGACTCAATTCCCTATTTTGACTTATACCATACGTTCCCGAATTATTTCAGGTGAACAATTGACTAGACTTAGCATATGTTTATGACGGGTGACACCGTCCAGGCAGGATACGGGCACCTTTTCGCGGACACCTGGTATCATCATTATTTCATAGTGATTCATAAACACATGCTCTGTCATCGTATCGCATGTTGACAATCACGGGAATTGTCTGGTTCAGACCCGATTTGTTTACAAACAACATTAGGTATGGCACTGAGATTTCTTATGCATATGTGGAAAGCATTTTGTCGTTTTTGTTTAAATTTTTAGATTGTATCAGGTACTATTTCTGCAAAAGATTTTGGATATCCCGATGTTACCCAAATTTGGTCTGTCTGACAAAGATTTGATGCAGTCACCTATGAAATTGATTCTGCATTTAGCAGTGAATACTTATGTATTTGGAAAGTTTTTTGTCGCTTTTATTAACAACGAATCAAATTATGATAATTATAGACAGTTAGGTATAGAATGAAAGTCGACATGTAAATATTTATTAGCTTCATGTTAGGATCTCACAAATAAATTTATATATTTCAGGGTATAGACAGCATCTCTGACTACTCCATATCCTTCCACTACGTGCCCCCACAGACGATGTACGATCTGGAGTTTTACATCTACCACTTACGACCGTACGGCATTGTGTCCGGCACTCAGGAGCTTAACAGAAAAGAGAAGGTGAAACCTGGAACCAAGGAGATCAATCCATAAGAGAATTGACACAGAGGACGTCTTTCGTCTGATGTCTTGTTCGACAGAGAAGTTCCATCCATTATTTGGTTCTGTTCGTATTTTTCCAAATGCCTTAAACAGTATTAATACTATTGATCATGTATATAGCTTTTATGATGATATAACAAATCGATATGATAACGTAAAGGCACTATGAAACAATTATACGTACCTATATACACTTGTCAGGTACCTATATTCACTAGTCAGAAGTATGTTAAGTACCTATATCATTTCATCAGTATGATGTAAAGGTATGTTACATACTACTGACAAGTGTATATAGGTACTTTACATACCACTGACAAGTGTATATAGGTACTTTACATACATCTGACAAGGGTATATAGGTACACTACACTCTACTGACAAGTGTCTTTGAACACCAAAATGCATGTGTTATGTGGGAGAAGTTGAAAGCCAAGTTGTATTAAATTATGTGGACGTAACTGGTTTGATTTCTCAGGTTGGTACTGTGTGAACCCCATATTTGCCGTCACTCAGGAGTGGTGACATGCTCTTTTGCCCCCAACCACACACCCCACTCACTCACTCACTCGTCTTTGGAAAGTTGAAATGCATACATCTACTACTGTCGCGGTATGAAATTGTTTGGTGATATATACTAAAGGAAAAAGGGACTGTACATAACATAAAATTGTATAAAATACAAGTTATTTGAAAAGACATTTGAAAATAACCCTAAATAACGTGTACCAAAGCACTTTGAATGAAATTTGTTGTCCCGTATCGCGCATGGCACAATGACCTTATTCACTTTTGGCATGCTTTTTGACGCCTGAAGTTCACACACCTGATACTGGAAATTGAAGAACGGTTGGTTATTCTGTAGTCTCTGAATGTTGTGCGTACGTCATACCACGGCTTACAGAATATCAGTTTCTCCGCTCCGGGGTCCTGCTGGAATGGCCCAAGATGAAGTTGGCAAAGGTTTTGGTGTCCATCGAAACACGCGCTCTCATCTCTACGGAGACGTATTCAACGTAATGGGGACACGAGAGATTTGCCTCGGACCGGCCGTCCTCGCGTAATGTCACGTCATCAAGACAACCACATTCGGCTGTTCAATCTAAGGAATCGATTCCAGACTGCCAGTTTGACTGCTCGGACCATTCCTGGCTTAAGTCCAATCAGTAACCGACTGTGGGAGCACACGATCCGGCCCGGCAGCCTCAGTACGCCTAATTTAGCTCCAGCGCCAATGACAGGAACGTCTTGCCTGGTGCAGTTGCATCTACGGTACAGGAGGCAAGATTGGTATGGTGTTTTGTTCACTGACGAGTCGAGATTTCATCTGGACAGCTCAGATGACAGGGCAATGTGAACGGTATGCTGACGCGTGCGTTGCTCAACGTCGACAGTTTGGAATGGAAGCGTTAAGGTATGGGTAAACATCACATCTCAAGGCCCCTATGTAGGTCAACGTAATACTCATCATTGTGTAGCAGTGTTATTTATTGTGTAACAATGTAATACATTGTACATGTGGATAGTCAGTGAGGGACACTGGTGTGCTAAATTAAGACGTGCTATATTTACACATAGTTTTGGAAGGCACTACATAGTACTACACTTTCCACTAAACATTTATTCCGACACAGGGAATCTGGAGTCTATTGTTTTTGTATATTATTGGGGTTAACTCTTGCCTCTCTCCCTCATCTTACATTATATCTCAAGCTACAAGAAGACCAGTATTGTGTGGTATGTTGTTTTGAGAACTTTTCCTTTTCAACCAGAGAATGATCTTGCGTGTGCCGTAAAATACGACTGACCAACGTGTTGATGGTCATCATATTCTTTATTCATCAATAAAGACAACATCCGGTAAAGCACGGAAAAGCAAACTATCTCATCGCAGTTAAAGACATCTTCAATCGCGGGCAGTAAAAAAACAATCATGCGTCAGTGTGTTAATTTTTGTCAAAATTACTGTTTTCATTCACACGACAATTAATTTATAATAGAAGTGACACGTGTCACTCACCAATTTACCATACTCCTTTTATCAGGCAACATCAATGAGCTTAATGCCGATGGTAATCCGCTGTGTCACCAAACTATCTGCGCTAGGTTTAACTTTAGTGACCACCCTTAAATGAGTTTGCTGCACATATAGGATATTTTATTTATCTGATTACCATTACACAATGGCTTCAATGCAACATATATAGTTTGCAACTCTCACCTGCTAAATATCAGACCGAATCACTTCGTAGGTATGGCGGCAGGATAGATTCTATTATATATTAATAATATTCCAACAAGCCTCTAGGTTGATTGGAGTTAAGTATTCCAGACATGCCAAGGATTCATACCGCCAGGCCACTATGACAGGTAATAGGCCAAGTCAGACTGTAATAAGTAATATTTCAAAATGTGAATGGATGACACATTTCAAGACAGTTTTTTCTAATGATGCTGTTTTCGTTCAATTATCGTCCCTATACATAAAAAGGGGCTCAAGACAATCCAGATAATTATAGAGGAATATCTTTAATGAGTGTTATTGGGAAAATATTTACAACTGTTTTAAACAACAGAATCTCAAACTGGTCAAATCTAAGAAACTTAATTCCTGAATGTCAGGCGGCTTTTAGAAAAGATTATTCAACTACTGACCATATCTTTACACTATATGCAATAATACAAAAGTGTCTATCGCGTAATAAACACAAACTTTATGTAGCATTTGTTGACTTTAAGAAAGCTTTTGACTCTGTGGATCGTTGTAAATTATGGCACTGCTTACGAAAGTCTGGTTTACAAGGGAAAATGTATTCTATTTTAAAATCTATGTACTTGAATATTAAATCATGTGTTCGTTGTGGTGATGATGTCACCGATTTTTTTCGACTGTCCCATGGGAGTTCGGCAAGGGTGTATTTTAAGCCCTGTATTGTTTTCCTTCTTTATAAGCGAACTGTATTATGATATTTCCAATGCAGGTAAACATGGTGTGCAAATGTTTCCAGATATGATTGAAATTTTTATCCTCCTTTTTGCCGATGATGTAATTTTAGTGTCAGATACTATCGTCGGTCTACAAAACCAACTGAATATTTTGGAACGTTATACAAATGAATGGAAATTATTTGTTAATTTTGAAAAAACAAACATAGTTATCTTTAGAAGAGGTGGGCCTGTCGCCTCTAAAGAAAAATGGTTTTTGAGTGGCAAAAACGTATCTATTGTTAATCAGTATACCTATCTCGGACTATTGTTTTCCCATACCATGAACTTTAAAAAGAGTGTTATAGACCTGAAATCACGTGCTAAGAAGGCTCTTATTAATGTTATGTCAGTTTCCCAGAATTTTGGAATTTTAACCCCGAAAATATATTTTAAATTGTTTGATGCACAAATCCAACCGATTATGCTTTATGGGTCTGAAATTTGGGGATTTCAACGTCATGAATGTCTAGAGAAACTACACCTTTTAGCATGTAAAAGATTTTTAAATGTAGCGCGAGCAGCACCAACTTGTATGGTTTATGGAGAATGTGGTAGATATCCGATATATATAAATTCACAAATCAGATGTTTAAAATATTGGTTAAAGATCCTTGGAATGCACGAACAAAGAATCCCCAAACTAGCTTATAACATGCTTGTACATTTAGATGATAGGGGTAAGACAACATGGGCGTCTCATATTAGAACTCTTTTATTTTCTCATGGCTTTGGATTTGTGTGGCTAAATCAAACAGTTGGTAATATTAATCTATTTCTTAAGCAATTTCGAGAACAATCTGTTAGCATGTATTATCAAGAATGGCATTCCTGTCTAGACAATAGTTCAAGATACCAGTTGTATAGATCACATAAGAGCTTAATTCAACCAGAACTATATCTATCTGTATTGACATCTAGAAATATCAGACGCACACTTGTCAATTTTCGATTGGGCTTGTTAGACTTATCAGTAAATAAGGGCAGACGATTTTCAATAGAGAGACGTTTAAGGATATGTCCATTATGTAACTCGGCTATAGAAGATGAAATTCACTTCGCTTTTGTATGCCCACATTATGCTGATTTAAGAAAAAAAATATCCCAAATAATTACCTGTTAAAATATCCTTCATCTGCCTTTGCTTCCATTCTATCCTCCAAAAATGAAAATGTAATACGTAATCTTGCGCTTTATGTAAAACATGCTGTTTTCCTTAGAAGCAATATCTTATCTGAACTGTAATTTCTTTGTGAAATGTCTGTAACATGTGCTGTATATATACTTGTATTACTTGTATATGGGCCGGAGGCCTTAAGTACAATAAATATCTTTGACTTTGACTTGTCCCCGCCGTGATGTTGCTGGAATATTGCTAAAAGCGGCATAAAACCAAACTCAGTCAGTCAGTCAGTGTTGATAAAGAAGTATCACCTCTTTGTGACCAATGCAGTGATAAGACGCCTGAAACAGTTCAACACTACCATTTGGATTGTCCCCGTTATATTAACATCAGACAAAATCTTAGAAAAGCGATACACTCTCCCTTGCTGCAATGTTGGACCCCAACAACCTATACGGTTCAATCCACAGGGTTATATTAGAGTACGTTAATGCATAAGGCAAATATGAGACAACCTAAGCATATGTCATCCATTAGTTAGTTAGTTGGTGAATGGTGTTACTACCCAAAATAAATAGAAACGGGGTATCAAGGGAAATATGTATGGAAGGCTGAATTAAAAAAGCAAGGAAAAATATGAAATAAGTAAAGAGTAATAGAAATTTGGAATTTAATATAGATGTAGTATAATAAATTGTTATTGTTTGAGAACAGAAACTTGTTAGTGTGTTTAAAACCAAAAACATATTTATTAAGTGAATAATGATGAACATATAACAGGTTATAAATGATGTTAAAAAAAGAAAGATGAGTTACAAAAATGAGTTGAAAAGTGAAAAGAACATTTATACATATTTCTAACATATTTTAAAATGATAATAAGGGGAATTATTTAATCATTGTTTGTGTTGCTAGATGGTTTGGTATAGTTTTGTATGAATGATATATTTAATGAGTGGTTTAGTTAATTTGGGGTTTGTTAGAATGTGCTTGAGATCAGAAGAGTTAGCATTGTTGAGGTAGAGACCAGATCTAATAAATAACATATGCAGAAATATACTATACCACCAAAATAAAAATAATCAAATACATTTTATCTGGGTTCCGTCACATATCGGTGTCCATGGCAACGAAATGGCAGACCAAGCTGCCAAACTTGGACTCCACTCAAAAAACAAAGTAAAAGTACCTTACTCCAAAACAGACCTAACAAACAAAGTTAACAATGTAATAATAATTGAATTCAATTATAACAGGCAAAAAATAGGAAAACATTATCTACTCTACCAAATTCAACAAACACTAAATACAAAATGTAAAAAATATCACCACACACGCCGAATTGATGTTGCCATAACCAGACTAAGATTAGAAGATTGCAATCTTAATCACTATCTACACAAAATCAATCCTCATCCAAACGGAAAATGTATCACTTGCCAAATTCCTGAAACAAAGCCCACACTATCTTTTACTGCTCAAAATATAATGAACAAAGAACCCCATTTACCAATGCTTTAAAACAGTACCTCAACAATGCTAACTCTTCTGATCC